GACGTTCTTGAGACTCAGCATCAATGTGGCGAGGCAACCATTTCAGGGCAGGAAGCTGCCATTTTGGTTCAGAGTGTGTCAGCTGCTTTGGGAAGATACGTATCCCAGTGGTCCCAGTGGCCCTCAGATGGAACTGGGGTGCCACTGAAGTAGCTGACAGATTGGTGGAGTCAGCAGCGTTCCAGAGAGTCGGGGAGATTGAGTGAATACCGTTTCTATTCTAGAAGTTTGCAAATGTGAGTGTGTGTGTTTCGAAGGGTCTTCTATGGACTGGATTATTTATTCTCAGCCCTTCTCAGGCAGGTGACGGTATAATGCTCACTATAACAGCCTTTTCTGTGCTGTGTGATACAAACTCAGTTTGTTTGTTTAACATTCATCTACTTGTAAATAATTATATTTAATTTTTCTGGCTATTTTAATTATTAAAAAAAAGAAAAACATCTCATCTTGTCTTAAAAAATCTCAAATTCATAATAGAAAATCATTAAATAATATTACAATAACATTTTGATATTGTAACTTTAATCAAGTGCCTCTATATTCAAATCATGCAATGACATATTTAAGGGTGATATTGATATTCTTTGAATGAGTACAAAACTTCTCTAGTCTAGAGCTGCCTGGAAAAGCTGACCCTAATCTGCTGACCTGCTGAGGATCATACATCGATCAGGCATAACATTGTGACCACTGACAGGTGGTCCTGGGGCCTGTTACTGTGTGGGATACATTAGGGAGCGAGTGAACATTTTGTCCTCAACGTTGTTTTAGAAGCAGGAAAAATAAGGATTTGAGTTGGAACAGGGCCAAATGGGGCCAAACTGTGATGGCTAGACCAATGGATCAATAGAAGCTATGGAAGAAGGTAGCCTGGTCTGGGGTATCACATAGATGATGAGTTAAGTGCGCGTCACTCATCTGGGAAACACCAGGATGCACTAGGGGAAGAAGGCAAGCCGGTGTAGGCAGTGTGATGCTTTGGGCAATGTTCTTCTGGGAAACTTTGACACGTACCACCTATCTAAGCATTGTTGTACACCATGTACACCCTTAATGGAGAACAATGGTTTGAGGAGAACAACAATAAGTTTGAGGCATTGACTCGACTTCCAAATTCCCCAGATCTCAACTGATCAAGCATTTGTGGGATGTGCTGGACAAACAAACCCAACATCTCGCATCTTACAGGACTTAAAAGGATCTGCAAGATAAAATAGCACACCTTCTACCTTCGAGGGTCTAGTGTAGTCCATGCTTCGACAGGTCAGGGCTGTTTAGGCAACAACACAATATTAGGCACGTGATCATAATGTTATGCCTTTTCGGTGAACAAAATAATGTTTAAAATGACTGAAAGTTCTACAGGAGATTCAGGATGGCTGAATTATTTCAAAGTGGAGGGGCAATAAAAAGATTATATAATTTCCCTGCTCATAGTTGGCAACAAATGAATGAATGAATAATGTAATGACATGTGAAAAGTTTCAAATATACAGACATAACATGTCCTCTTAAGTAGCAAGTTACCATTTAAAACGAATGTTTTGTGTTGAGTAATGATAAGGAAACACAACAGCTGGACAATAATGCAAAGATTTAGCATGGCTGCTATCCTCGCTAATAAAAAAAGATAAAGAGATGTTTAACAATGAACTTTAGGAGAAAAAAACGCCAAAGCAACCTTTTATATCTGCCTGATTTTGTTCATCTAAAGTCTTAGTCGTATGTGACCGAAGTTATTATGACTGTGTACCATCAATGTTTGAAATGATCACATCAAAGTCGGGGACCAGATCTGAGACTACTCAGTCAGTTGCCATCTTCAAAGCAACTTTGGTGTGTCAAGATGGCGATAAAACAGGGACAAAACGGCAATAAGAGGCAGTCGGCGTGCTGTTGATTTTTCCTTTGAATTGGGTCACGTTGGCACTTACATGCAATGTGTTTGCAATAAAACAGAGATTAACTGTGATAAATCACAAATCTGTGGATGTTTGTTGCTGTCCATATCAGATGTTTAGTATAGAAAAGAGTCCCTGTATGAAGGAGCGTGAATGGGTGATTGAGCCATGTTGTTTAAAGCGCTGTGAGTACTTACAGTAGACAAGCGCTATATAAGATCCACGTGTTAATGAGGATATTGTTACTGTACCAAATGCGTGCATCGGTCTGGGTTTTCTTCTTTCGGGTTCTCCCTTTAGCGGTTGCCTCCATCTCACACTATCCCTTTCCTCCTCTCTGGCAGCTTCTGTATTTAACATGCCCAACATATCCACTTATCCCTCCTCTGCACATGTGCAAACAATCTCAGCCTTGCTTCTCTAACTTTCTCTCCAAACTGGTCAACCTCAGCTAAGCTCTGATGGACTCATTTTTAATCTTGTCTGGTCAGTCCCAAAAAAATCTCTGCTGACTTCAGCTCCTCCTCTGGTCTTTTTCTCAGTTCCACCATCTCCAAACAATACATCCTTTCCTTTCACTCATGCTGCTGTCCTTCTGTGACAAGTTACCCTGACACTCATCTCCTCCTTCACGCTGCCTACATCCTCTTCTTCACCTCTCTTGTGCCCTTTCCTTTGCTCTGGATGGTTGATCCCAGGTATTCAAACTAATATACCTTCGCTACCTGCAGCTTCACTGTCACACCTGTCTCCCTCTCATTCACACGCATGTATTGTGCCTTGTTTCTACAGACTTTCACTCTTGTCTCCAGAGCATGCCTCCACCTCTCTTTCACCTACTTCTTACTCTCATGTACAGATCATCCTTCTCTCTCAGGGTCCGAACACAACTTCCATATCTCTGCTTTCTTTGTCTTCAGCCAACAATAGATCAGTTTACACCAGCACCTTGTTGGCAAACAGCACCGGATGAGGTCATTTTTAACTTGGGCCCCAACCAATCTGGTATGGAAATCTCATTCTTGATGTTTTTGTTTGATTTTATAAAGATTTTACACCATCATGACGCTACCTTTGACATATATTTGAGTTTGGGATAGACAGGGAGCATTGATAAATGGGATAAAAAAAAGCCATGGAGAGATGATTGAATTATGTCCTGACGTCTGTGTAGAAATGTCTGAAACACTGGAACCGGCTCTGCTCACTGTAAAAAGGAAAGCAAGATGTATCCTTGTATGTGCCTTGCATACAAGGATACTCCTCCTCCCCTCCCTCCATCGCTCCATTAAGTTCAGTTCAGTTCTGCTCTGCTTCAATAAAATCCCAGTATTACTGTGGAGCAGGAATATGTGGCTCGGCTCTAAACACTCAGAGCGGCAACCGAATAAAGAGCGACAGGACAGAGCCAAAGTTTTAGCACTGCGCTCACAGCTTTGAGCCATCCAGTCATGCCAATTACACACTCATTCTGATAACATCTCCCCCGTCTTTCCAAATAAATAAACACTTCTATAGGCAATTATCACACACACATATCAGCCACAAAATAAGACATGCTTTTGGTGTAAAAAGCATAATTTACAGTTAATTGCCACAAACCTTAGTCACTCAGGTTTGTGTGTTTCATTATTTGAAGGAGCAGATGCTGATCTGTCTGCCTTTATAAATTTAATAGCAATTAGTTGCAGGTCTTTCTCCAATCTGTTCGAGACTGACTCTTGCCAGTTAAGGTTGAAATGAGACAGGTTGTCTCCCACCAGGTGAACTGTGCAGTCCTTGCAACTACAAGCATCCAGAGGTTGAGGGTGCCGCACGCTCAAATTCCAGGTGAAAATGGGTCATAGAAACTACTTGCTATTGGTCCCAGGTAACAAGAAAATTCAATGTAAGCACTTCGCAACTACTGATTATTCCGGGTCTCCTAAACGTTTTCACTTTCACTTGTATTTGAGGCCCTACAGCGAACTGGGTGAACTCCAAAGAGCTGCCAAACAGATCACAGGTACGATTGTTTGGTCGAATGCCGTTTCTAAGTTCAAAGATGAACTTTTAAACTCAAAACATACACATGTAATTTCCTCCTGTCTCTTACTATGCAGATGGTAATGCATGTGTGCCATCTGTGCATTTCTCTCCCTGTTTCTTTGTTGACTGTTACAGGCCTCATCCATTTGCCCCATGCTCTTTAGCTTTTTAAGAAATACTTCAAGGGTGTATCTTGGTGGTATGTGTGCTTGTGTGCGTGTGGGTGTGATGAGGTCGTGGTCAGTTGACAGCCAAAGGGCAGGGTCATCGTCAGTTGATAACCTGTCAGCGATGACTCTCTGATCTAACTGGCTCTCTCGTACTTTTCATGTTCTTCCTCCCCCACCTTTTTGGTCCCAGCTGCCACTCCTCTCTAACCTCTGACCCAAGCCCAAGGCCAAGGTTGGGAGGTTGTTGCCACGGCAACAAAGCAGGCCCGCAGCGCCTGGCTGCTGACCCCGGGAGCCCCAAGTAACCCTAACGATCATAATTTGCTCCCCTCTGCCCCCTGCCAGCTCATCCATGAATACCATTTAGAGGAGCGAAGAGGGTGATGCAGGGAACAACGGACGGATCGGCAGGCTGATGGGCAGAACAATAGAACGAACAAAAGAAGCACGCGTGTGCCACTGAAAGGGAGAGCTTTAGAAATCAGTTAAGATGGCCTTTTGACCCCCTTCCTCTCTTTCGCTTTAAGAAAGCCGGTTTAGATGCATATCACCTAAAAAGATGGTTTTGCTTGACTAAACTGCATAAGAGGTCGCTACTCCAGACACTGATTTTTAATTGCCATTCAAATAATAAAGAAAGCTCCAAACTACCACTTAGACTGCTGCAACACTCAAAAAGGTTCCTATATACTGATAAAACCTATATATGATGACTCAGTCATATTTATATACATACATTAGTCTTTTAACTGGAAAGGTGTGTGAGACTTTCTTCACATTTTTCACGAGTCGCTCCGTGGCTACTGCTTTGCTTGGCTTATAGTTTGGTTATATGCAATCCCATACTTGAGTAAATATAATAATAAAACCTCCTGATGTGTGTGAGGGGGTATCATACCTGCTGGAAGGCCACTTTACTCTTCAGCGCAATCTCCTGCTGAGTGGGGTTGGATGTGTAAATGGCTGAACGATACTGAGTACCTTGGTCATTGTGCTGCTTCATACCTGCATAAAACACACATACACACACACACACAAAGGAAAAATAAGACACCCCACAAAAATGCATGAAGCACCACAATCAGAGCAGACACAATGTGATTTGCATGTAAAAGGCTTTCATAATTATGTCATCATCCTGCGTCTTGAGGCCGAATGAATTCAAAGTTCATAGCAGATTCAGGCTTTCATTAGGAAGGCCTGAGTCGTGTAGGTGTATGGGCAAATGAAGGTGGACACATTTTCCTCTTCTTTGTCATCTATGTGACAGTGTCAAAAATTTTCATCAGCTTTACATCAGAGTGTTTGGGAGGATATCCAGGTCTACTGTAACTTGATTAGGGGGCCAAACAGCTGCCATCCTTTCTATGCTTTTCAAATGCTAAACTCCTGAGCAGCTCAGACATCCGTGGACACATCTCCCACTCTGCATTTGTTTCCTTTCTTTACTGAAGTGTGTCATTCTTGTCTTCTTCTATCTTTCTAAATCCTTGTCTTTTTCAGTCATTGGCGTTTTGTTATGGGCTTGAATCACTGATACATGTGTTCTTGTTTAGAGGCCTGTCAGATATGCCTTTCAGCCTGATTTTAATGGTGGATTAGTTCATGTGGACAACACGATTACCCCTTCTTCCAGCCACTCCCATTTCACTTCACTTTTGGCTACTGGTCAGCGATTGGCAAGCAAAACAAATGGTTAATTCTTATATTTTAAAGCTTGTCATGTTTCTGTCACCATATTCAGAACCATTTTGCTGTGTCTTTGTCATGTAGAGGTATATGCTTTTGTGTCTCCTTCCCTTTCTCTTTTTCTTGTTTTAACACAGAATTTTCTGGGGCACCATATCCTACATGGCCAGAAAGCAGCAGCATGGGATCAAACTGACGTGAACATTTTGGCAAACATCTGCCTCTTCAGACATCTGGCAAGAAGCAACTCTTGTAAAAAGTCACACAACATTTTGAAACAACAGTTTTGCTCATTTGTGTTGTATTTTGAAACTGTGCTGGGCCCTGTACCAAAGCAAGGCAATCCGACTCAGTAAGTCAACCCAGGACTTCCAAATCTAGCTACGAGTGTGTTCACATGAAAGGCATTGCAAATGCGGGCAGGTCTACTGACAGAAGAGCAACTGATCTTACAAAGAAAGATAATACGATGATATTAGAAAAATATCTAGAGAATAAACACATATAAAACAGACTGCCACAGACAATGTGTGCTAGTATGAGAGTGTGTGTGTGAGAGGAAAAGTGCTGAACAGTAGTTTAGTATTAAAAGCCCTGTATGAATGTGTGAGCACTTTAAGCACTTTTGTCAGTAAGACTGGAAAACACCTCCCACATTAATAAAGTCTAGCCTATTTGAAGCTGGGAAGAAAAGCCGGAAAAAATACAGACTGTGTGAGGTACGAGAATTATTGATATCACAGTTTTATAACGGAAGACGTGGGAGAAAACTCGATTTCAATATTCTGTTAAATTCCTTTAACATTTTTCATGTAAGTAAGACATTTTTTTTCACATTCAAAAATTTAGTGTAAGATCCACAAGTACAAATAGCTGTCCTGTTTTAAATTTGTATATTAATGCTTATAGAACAAAACAACTGTTGTAAAATAATTTACAGCCAACAGGGAAAAAGCATCAAGGAATAAAAGTGCATTAAGAATCTATATTTATCACTAAGGCTCAGGAGGGAAAAGCAAAGACTTTGGACGCTCTTAAAAAATTCAGCTCCTCCTTCTATCTCTGGATCCATGAATGCAATGGTAAAGCTATTTTCCATAGATCTGCTTGATCTTTATGCGGTGATTTCATAGCTGCAGATCTCTAATGTTGAACATTACCTGTTCCAGAGGAGGTTAGGTCTGCAGCACAAGTTACCATGGTGATACACTCTCGCAAAAAGTAAACCACCTTCAAAATCTGATTTACCCCTAAAATCATAAGTTGTAAAAGCAACCAACAAAGGTGAGAATGGTCTTGCTTTTGAAGTTACGTTACAGACATCAACAATAACAAAATTCCCATATTGTACATTTGTGTTGTTTGTGCAAACCAAAACAATGAGCTGAAAGATGGTAAAGAGATGATAAGGTACCGGTATCAAATCGCATCTTAAGTGTGATTTCCTAGCAGTATTAACACCGTCACTCTCCGTCAGTGATTTAATTGGAATGTTTACGTTTTCTTTT